GTAGGGCCCACCAACTGTAAGTGTCTGTGTCAACCTCTCAATACTCCTTAACGTCTGCACCTACTAAACTTGCTTTCCTCGGGTAACCCTGACCAGTACTCTATCCGGAGTGTAAGTACCGATAGACGAACTAGAAGCAAAAAGGCTTGTGACTAGGTAGTGCGCTCAAGTGAGGACTACATATTTACAACAGATTAAATGTCAAATTTAAAAAACAAGAACACTGTATAACTTGTCTGCTAATTGGCTGGGGTAGCAAGCTTAAGGGTGCGCTTAATGGTGGCGAAACGAGGGAGCAATCCACGTGCGGGCAGTCACTCAGGAAGAAAAGTGAAGTCGCTGAGCGATATTGCATGAATGCATTGAAACAAAAGCTTAAATATTCAAGATACACTACAGTACACGGACACCCATTTAAAGTATGATGGTTTTAGGAATTCGCGTATCTATTAGTTATTTACAGTCGGTGTCTGCAATCCAACCTCTTCACGCAGAAGTCCCAGAAATAATCAATGGATCGACAAAGAGAGTTCACCTAACTGGAATTGCAGATATCAAATATTCAGGTACTTTGGAGGAAATTACTCGCGATAATGATAAGTACCCGTCAGTGTTAGTGAAAAGTTAATGTTTGTTTATTGTAATTGGTCTTCATTTGGCCGGGACTATCAATGACTACTTTTGCTTCGCCGTATGCCGGCTAGCAGAGAACTGGAGAAATACAACCAGAAGTATTAAAGCAGATTTTTATTAACTTTTGTTTACAGATTTGCACGCAGTAGCTTGTTACTCTATTTCCATATTGGTGGAAAAATAAACAATCTTATTATCCCTCCCTCTTCTGTTTCTCCTAGTCAGTTACTATCCATAGCATTCTGGGTATTAAGCGTAGTCTTGTGGAAGCATCTACAGGTTTGGGATCAATCTATGGAATCTACGCCTGGAATAGAGAAGCTTTTGTCTAATATTGGGAAACTCCGGCCTATGAATGCCATATTGAAAGAAACGATTGTAGGCTTTTATAACACATAGTAGACCTCATGGGACGAGGAAGAGCTGGAGATATTCTGACCCGTCCTTCTGTGGTCATGAGGATGAGGTGGTTTCTGACCATGGTAGGCTCATTGGCTCTCTTTTATGCAACTTTCCTGCCACAGAAGCTGGCTGTCTGGTAATGATAAGGTAAACATACCGCGCTCAGCGTTCAGCTACATGATCCTGAGCAACCGATCTAAATTGGCGAGTGAAAACTAACCTGTTTCTTACGAGAGTTTATTTACGAAAATCACGGCAAATATGGGCGTTGATAAAGCATATCCCCTGTTTGAAGTGGCGCCTTTGGCTTAACCTTGACGGCATTTGCGCGGTTTCGTTGACTCGAGTTGTGGCTAGTCGTCCAGCAAACGTAGTAGACGCTATTTCGCTGCTTATTTTGCTCTTGTTGGATGAATTTATATGAAAATTATTGTTCGATATTGTTCTTGAGCATTTGCTGATTGCTTGTGTGACAGGACGCTTAAATACATGGTTCATGCAGTGATTTTTGGCATACCGAGTAAGCTTCGCGTACATTTCAACGACTGTCATTCGATAAATTTCTTTGCAGATTGGCGGAAACTTGTACTCGATCTCAAATTTCCCTATCAGCTATTGTGCAGTACCTATTACTGCTGCAGGAACCAAAGAATATGGTTGATATCGAATTCCTGCATCCTCCCGCACTTCTGTGTGTTGTTTTGAGAGAGGAAAGTCAATAGAATGCATAGATACAAGCGAAAATTAGTGTTCACAAATGGGCAGAAATTGCAATATGTTTTACGATCACTTATAACATTCACTGTTTTCTGCCGAAGTTTTTAAGTGAGTTAAATGCACACTGCAACATTTTAGTAATTTGGTGGATTTCAATACCATCCTCGTGATCAGGTACGTAAAGACATCTGACGTGTGCGTCACTTTTTCCTACTAGTGAGTTTGGTTTCATAAACTTCCGATTTTTGTCATTGTCCTGACGCCACATTCGCGCTTGTTCGAAGTTAATTCACCAAATTATTTTAAAACCACGTAGAAGTAGTGTCCGACATCTCTTAAATCTATGGACGTAAGGTTTAGAAGTGGTTGCTATATCCATTTAGGGAAGGCTCATCGATTTTTTCAAGTAAGGGCTACGCATCATATTCCTAAATGCCTCCAGAAGCAACAAAATCTTCAGAAGTTATTAATGGGGTCCCAGCTCCTCTATTTCGAGACATATTATAGGGACAGGTCATAAAACTGGCGTTTGCACATTCTTTAAACCTATCTGTAAACTGACGCACTACTTTTGCAGGCAATATACTATTTCCTCAATAAAGTGAGAATTGAATACTTCGGCTGCATAAAACGAGTAAGTAGTATTCTGGCAATACCAATGACAACAACAAGTCTAGGAGTTAAGCACTACAACTTTTACTTTACTGAATACACCAGCAGACTTTACATAAACACTTGACAGATCAAATTTATACAGGGAGTCAGTAAGATCTTACTGAATCGATTTAGTAAACTAAAAGTGCTTTCGGTTTCCACAGGAGTTCTCCGTGCCGAATTTATTCCCTCAAGGGCCTAAAAAGATTAAAACTTCAATTAAATAACACTGATGTGGAAGAAATTCCATTCTTCATTACTACGCTTAATGAAAATGAACTTAATGAAAAGGAATGCACTAAGAACTCAGTGCAACTCGATACACAATAGTATATATACAAATAAACTGAAAAATAATGCCCTCCTTACCTTCTAAACAACTTGTCTTTATTCCAGGATTATAATTTTTCACCTATGAGCCTGAGTTATGTCTACGAAATCGCAATATTACATCAGTTAAATCTTCCCCGAAAACCAAGGCCACTTGAAACCAATAGCAACATAGCAACAAGCGTCATTGAGGGGATATGCAATAAAGTCGCTCGGCAAATATAGCTCACAGAAAACATGCTATCTGATATGCTTCAATACTACGTAAAAGCCTATCAACACTGTTGAGCAATGGAAACCCGTTTTAACTGGAAGTAACCCAATCCTGACAATAAACAATGTGTAGCATTCGTTTGAATGTTGGTTAATAAGCCGATTATCCTGGGGGGGGGGGGTTCACTTATGGTTACTGACGATGAAAACGCATATAACTGCATAATATCCAGTCCTCTAATATAGATATTGACTGTTTGCGAAATGCCGTAACATGTTAACAAACCGTGATTTAAGCTTTAAAGGAGGTTAAAATACACAACAATTTTGCCATATCTACTGCTCCTGGGAAAACAGGACTGCAGTGTGCACAATACACTGGCTCGGCTCAGTTTATGGAAAGTGGGCGAGAAAGGGCTGTTATCTCTCTGGTCTTGTCAGGGAAATCGACAATAGGTGCATAGGCCTGAGGCTGTGTGGAGTTAGTTTAAGCGGCCATAATATCAGCTATCCCGACACTACACCCCGGGATGTCTACCTGAGTAACTTGGTCGTAGTTCTATGCGGAAAAGCCAATGACTTTTTAGTTTGCTCAGGCCAGAATGCATCTACACATCTTAAACTAACAAGATAAAAATAAACCCATCACACAGCTCTTTAGTGATGAATGAAATTTAAAATGCACTTGGTGATCAGATGAAAACGGCATGTGTCTAGTACATATCAGTGTAGTTCATTTCTTGTTTAAAATAATCCAGGTACCGGGCAATGAGTGGCATCAGGTGGGCATCTCCCACGAAACCGCACAGTGCAGTGACTACTATCCGCTGGCTGTCTCCCACGCAACGAGTGTTGTCACTCGACTATAAGGACATTATGATTACGATGGTGGCTAAGTTATTAGTATTTAAAATACGGTCTTAATAGTATTGCAAGAAGCCTAATTACAATTCGGAAAGGAGTGACTTTGAGAGCCATTGTGAATTGCCTGGGAAAAGATAAACTATTACGAGCTGTACTGCATGCATTTCGGACCATCCCTGTATGAGTAACAGTTACACAGTCAATCGTAGATGGGTTAAGTAAAAGGGTAACAGGAGACCGGCTGACAGGATCTACAAAAATTTTGGAAAAATATCTGGCACTGCCTGATGTTAGATTGTTTTAGGGAAGTTTCCTGCCCACGCAGATGGATAAAATCTCTTTTTCTAGGGGACAGAGTAGAGTCAACTCCAAACAGTATAGAGGAGGCTAACAGAAAAACTATTCATGCAAGGTCGGATGTGAACATTTCGAAGAAAACGCAGCTGAAAGTGGACATCCGTGGATAAAATTTTACTTTTTAGAACTGTTTTTCTGATTGCAAGACGACATTTCACTTTGGGAATTAAACTCACTTCTCTTAGGCTGTATTTTAGGTGACGAATAGCAAGCACTACAATATATTTAAAGCTGGATTGCTGAAATACTCCTTGGGGATACTGAGTATTTGAATTTCATTCCAACGCTAGCCAGCGCAAAGTCTTGGATTTTACTCATTCATAAGTAAAATGAAGAAAGCATCACTGTTTAATGCCACCTCGTACTCGTATGATGGGTGCATCAATATGTTGTCAACTAAATGATATCGAAGGAAACTTGGAACTAAGCTGTATATCCTCCGTTTTGAAGAGTTGTATTCATTGCTCACATTTTTTAAGCATACCCCACAGACTCGCTCGCTTTTTAAAGAAACTTAGGCAATAACGGTGACTGATATTTATTATACCTTACGACATAGCGAAGATTCCTTCCCAAGTGATAGTAACATGTTTTATAAAGCGAAATCAAAATAACGATCATGATGACTGAATGATGAAATTTTCTAGGGATTTTATTGAATGTTGTCATTTCATGCGTTTTGTTTTAGTTTATCAATTAGAAGAACTCGCTACCTTTGTTATTGATGCTCCAATATTAAATTGTGAACTATCTTTCGTACTTTTTACATGATGGTTCGTCTGACTGAGAGAATCGATACTTTCAGCTAAGAAGAGTGGTGTCTGCTGAATATGAAGGGAAGTGGGTGTAATACAAGTGAGACCAGTGAGAAATGGGTTAGGAATAATGGATGCCAGCAAGTCTCAAGTATGGAGTCTAATGAGACGAATAACTTAAGATTTGAAGACATTAAGTACTTTGTTCTTCAAGGAAGAGGTATTTCTCAATAATATAAACACTTCTATTGTGTAGCTGGTAAAAAATTTATCTTGAAAGGTATCACTGGAGAGTTTAAATCTGGTGAACTAAGCGCAATTATGGGACCCAGTGGGGCTGGAAAAAGTTCATTGATGAATATTTTAGCTGGTTGTTGTACAAGAAACGTTATTGGCGATGTGTATGTTAGTTCGTCGCCGAGAAACCTACAGCAGTTCCGAAAGATGTCATGTTATATAATGCAAGATGACTTATTGCTTCCTCATCTTTCAATAGATGAGGCAATGATGTGCAGTGCTAATCTCAAGTTAAGTGAAAAAACCAGTTATGCGTCTAAAAGGAAAATTGTGAGTTTTTTGATAGTGATCCGAATCTTACTGGTTTATTTTAATAATTTATAAATACATATTTATCAAGTCCCACAAAGAATAGCGTTTGCTATTACTTATTGTTTGAAAAATTCCTTTTATATCAGCAAGCGAATAGTGAATAGATACGAGTTAAGTCTGAAGCCTTGATCACTCGAACTATTAGGCTTGTCTAAAAATTTTAGAAAAATTTACTCGTTACTTGTTAGTTGTTACTTGAGACTACACCTTGATTTTCAAAAGCCAGAATAGAATCGTCCACATCTAGAATTTTGTTCCCCTTGCCGAACCAGTAAAACTGTCTACCAAAACCCATATTTTCAGCATCTGCTCCTTCATATATCCACTATACGGAAAATCGAAAGGACTATAGTGGGCCTAAGGCCTAATCTTCTCAATAATCTGTTGAACATGCTTGCTTTATCATTTGCAGTTTATTGCTCTCTGAATATGTTTTAGTTATAAAGTGAAATGTTTTTTACATAATTTTCAATAATATTAAATTGATACTGAAATGTACAGATAAATACCTGAAATCACTACTCTTAAATTTTTTAAGCTATTTTTATCAGGAGAGTCTAGAACTTATTTGACAGTCTGAAGATTCGTTAACAGCCATTTTTATCACTGTTGTTCTTAGTTTTCTCGGTTTAAGCCAACTTATCAACAGATTTTACGACAAGTGACTTTTTGTTTCTTATTTTGACTGGAGACTTATCAGATAAGAATTTATTCGGAATATTTTTTTGACTTTAAATGATCATAAGTAGTTGACCTTATCGGGAACGATTGCCAGCTAGGATTACCGTGTATCTCATTAGAAAAACATATATAATGTTTTCCTGAATTTATCTACTCAATGCAGCTTTACTTACAACCAGATACCTTAAAACACACTCACGAATATTTCTGGTAGAGGTAAGACGAATAATTAAAAGGTATTCAAAATGCAAACAAAAGCATGTCTCCTCCAATTATTTTGGGAAACAGCCTTTGCATCTTAAAGCAAACAGCCTGCAGTTAGCTAATAAAAGCTTCGTGGAAGTAACGTTGTATACCGACTCTTCACCACTGGTGAACTGAAATTCGCAGCTTCATGATATTGTGGGCAGAATATCTGTATGAAATTACGGGTTTTGTGGTTATTTGGATGCAGAGCCTTAATCTCCTTGAAGTAGTCAGATGCACTATTAGTCGAGAGAGGAATTAAAATTCACCCAGAAAGTTGCTCGTGGTACTTTCCAGTGTATCTGCCGAACAGTCAGATCGTAACTACAGAAAGTATATTAAGATGAGTGAATATTTAGTAATCGAAGTGTTTTCGATAATAACTTGAGAAAACACCATTCTTTAAAGTGTGTTAACTTTTGAAAGGTTAACTTCTCATGAATGCACCATTAAACATTCATACCTTTTTAGATTTGATGTTAATTAGCAGATGAAAGTAAAATGGATAAAACTAGGTAATATAGGAAAGGGGCTATTGTTGGCAATGTATTAGATGAACCTCTCTGAGACAGTTCATACAAATAAGTGAGAACACACTTCTTTGTGTTTCCCTGAAACACCACGTGACAGGTTATGAAAAAGTATGTGAAATGTATTTCTGTAAAAAATGTACAGAATACTAGATTGCAGTCTGGTTAATTAAATTTAAAGGCTGTGGACACATTTGAGCAGTGAGTAAATTGTGATGCTGTGGAGGTGCTCTATAAATAATGTAACACACTGTACTTGGAGCATATATCGTAAAATATAAGGGACCAAAAAGTAATTAGAAATATCCCTTTAATGACCAATGAAATATGATTATTCCAAAACCAATTCATCTTATCACATACTAACGTTTGACAATTTAAAGGGCGGCTAGTATACAGAAAATTACTTATGCATTCTTTTTGCAGCTTGCCGTGTAAACTCTATTATCTAACCCTATCAAAAGTCTCAAAAGTTGACTTGATATTACACGCAACTTATTCTTTAACAAATATTTTTATTAGGTTGATAACATCATAAATCTGCTTGGACTGAGAGAAGCTGTGCACACGAGAACTTCTCAACTTTCTGGTGGTCAAAAGAAACGCCTGGCAATTGCTCAAGAGTTAGTTAACAATCCTCCAATAATGTTTTTCGATGAACCAACAAGGTAAGATTCTTGTTGATAACTATGCGGGACTTTATTTCGAAATTCAACATATTTATTGACTATATATCATTAATGTAAACAGGTATTTAAGGGAAACCGTGATCTTTTCTGGCCTGAAATAATAATAATAACTTTTAAGATAATTTCAGTCTTGACGAAAAGATGAAAATTTCAACCAGCTTATACTAAATTATCAGCTGTTTTGCTTACTAGAACGAATAATCAGTAATATCATCAACTCAAAACTTTTTATCATTTCTAAACTTAAACTTATTTTCTCAATATGACTATGCGTAGAATGAATTAATTATTTATGTCAAAAGTCGGTATATACTTAAAGTCATATAGAATAGAAGCGTGTACTTTCTAATTCCCAGGAGATGGTAAGAATCAAATAACCAAATTAGTTACCCAACTCCGACGTGGGATAATCACCAAAATTTATTCTGAACACAATTTAATATTTAAGTGTTGGTTTGTAGGCATTTGATTGGTTTCAGGATTTCATCATGAGCTGACGTTAGTTAGAGAACCATTGGAAAACCAGCTGGGAGTACTGGACAGCTGTTTCCCCCGTCCTAGTTTGGGACTCTTCAGCAGTATGAACCCACCGGGATTCGAACCCAGGACCTTCCAGTTACAAGGCGAGCTCGTATACCAATAAGCCACTGGGACCCAATCCAATGGTCCTTGAATTCTAACTTCTTCCAATTCACGACATAGCGTGACCACTAGCCAATATCTTCGGCGAGTATTTGTCCTCACACCCATTGGACCATTGGATCGGGTCCCAGTGGCTTAATGGTATACGAGCTCGCCTTGTAACCGGAAGGTCCCGGGTTCGAATCCCGGTGGGTGCGTACTGCTGAAGAGTCCCAAACTAGGACGGGGGAAACAGCTGTCCAGTACTCCCAGGTTTTCCAATGATTCTCTAACTAATGGCAGCTCATGATGAAATCCCGAAATTTAATATTTGTTAGAAATTAAAGTGATCAAGAAGGTAAGTAGGAAGATTTTACAATGTATATGGCATCGATTGACCTGAATAGTCTTAATCAACGGACAATTAAGCCTACCCATCAGTTGGCTTTAGTCTCAGAAGGCATCTAATTACCTTTTATTTGATGACAGACTACCTTGGTATTGTCATTCTGTGAGAATTATTGTGACTTATATTCATATTGAGATCTATTGATACAAACTTACTAACTGTGATGTCGAGTGATTTTAGAGTTGTTACCTCGTTATGTATCTATGCTAATGTCTGACAGGCGGCTAACAGAACAAAGAAGAGCGTTATAAATTATATTATTTCTTTTTTGCATATGTGGCTTACGCGCAGTTTGCGAGGTTGGCTTTAGAATTAAAGTTGAGGCTTTCTACATTTATAATGAAAGATAATAACGGCTAGAATTTTTCTGCAGTAGATTGAAAACTGTTTGTGGTTATATGTTGTGTGTGGTCAGTTAGCTTTAGTCATGTTACTTGCACAAACAATGCCTTGGGAATGTCTGTTTGAACCACAGTCCCATATTCCACATTTCTAGTTAGAAAGCTTTCTGCTGATGACTTCCATGAGATAAATTCATAGTTGATCAATGGCTTAGGTGGTTTATTACAAAAACCATTCAGATTCTCAACGGAGTTATCTCCAACCTTCTTAATCGCTTTTGCAAAAAAATATTTGTTTATATTTTAAATCACCGTTAGTTTTTTAAATAATGCCAAAGTAGCAATTTGGGGGATCAAGCCCGACTTTTTCTGATCCTGATAATAAGTGCTACACATCTGCGTCCGATTCAGATTAGAATTCAGTGGTTCTATAGATGATTTTGGTCCTTGTTGAAATCTACCCTGAAAGCAATCAAATTCCTACAACCAAACAATTGAAAAGTTATATGCTCTATGAACTAGTGTCATGTTTTAGTCTGACCACTTCAGTATATGTAAGAAATATCTCCTCATTACCGTAGTAAACGAAGATTTACTACCCACTGCCGAATGTTTATTTTGTATGTAACATTTAATGCCTAATCTTATTATCTTAATAATAATCTTAATATAGATGCAAAGTGATGTTTAAATTATTGAAATGTTTCATATTTATTCATACTTTCATTTTTTGTTTGATATTTTGCAAAACAAATACTGAAAATGTATGCTGGAATCTCCATACAACCGTGAAATCTTTCTGACTGACTGATATATAAATAAAAAAATCTGTCCATCGTTCAGTGGATTAGATAGTGCTTCATGCTTTCATTGTATTTCTTTACTACGACGACTGGCACGTGGTGGTAGAACAATAATCTGTACAATACATCAACCAAGTGCAAAAATATTTGAATTATTTGATCATGTAAGTCTACTTGTTTATTTATTTAATTGAATCAATGAGTCACTGTAATGGAAGCCTCAATGCTATGAAATATAAAGGAAATTTCATTCCTTTGTGTTTCGAGTAAAACATAGAGCTTCAAGCTTGAACTTAGAAGTTTCAGTAGCAGTGGTGCAGCTTTACAGAGCAGGATTTCTAGCCTCACTCCAAATCTTTTATCTTTGCAAGGTTTACTGTCGTTTAAAGGAGGATTAGGAGTGCACTGGCAAGAAATCTAACCCGGACGGCGTGCATGATTAATGAGAAATTCTACCACTCAACTATCAACACACTAAACATAGTTAGTAGTTTATATACATAATTAACGAATTCCATCGCAGTGGCTAGATATTCAGATGACTCAGCACATAATATGAACGTCTTAAGGTCGATTTTTGGTGAATTCATGGGTGTGTATTGATGAAGAGTCCCAAACTAGGGTGACACAGTTTTCCAACACTCTCTTGCTTTCAAGCCAGTGGTTAGGACTCTCGCCGACCATGCACATGGTCCGGGGTTCGAGCCCTCGCCGACGCACACCTGATATCTATGGTTGGCCTGCGAATTTTGGGCTACCGATATCCACGCTGAAAATTCCATACGTGTACCAAAAATACGGTGTGAAATCAAGCTGTAATCAAAAATAAAAAATAAAAAAATAAAATAAAAACTAATGTCGTTTTGTGATTGAAAGTGTAATCAGTCATATCTCTCTAAACAAACATTTGAAAATCACGAATATATGTTTTCCAAATAGTCGGTAGAGGCAAATGAGCGCTCCTTGTGTCTTTCTAAAAGTACTCAACCATTTATTGTTGCTTGTTTTGTTTTCACCTATATTCTTTATAGACTTTTTTCGGTTTATTAATTCGAAAAGACAATATTTTGTGTTAGGTTTGAGTGAATTTGAGCGTTTGCTTATATATACATACGCTCATTCTAGATTTCTTTGATCCTATATACATTGCTTTGAAGTTTACTGAAGAATGGACAGACTTGATAAAACTGCTGAAGAGTCTGAAAAGCAAACTGGATTATAGGATGAATAAATCATTTTTTGGTCTTTATAACTGAAGCTGTTTTTCACTCACTGCTGAACTGTTGATTAGTTTCAGTTAAAGCCAGTGATACTCATATACTGTTGAGGGTCTCTATTTTAGACACCTTGCAGCGGATATTACAGAAAATATCCACACAATACTTTACTTCTAGTGGTTTATTAAAGATAAATTTACTTAGTCCATATCGATTTGGGCGGTAATTAACTAATAATGTTATCAGTACTAAATTTATTTCCAAGTATAATTATATCCTAGATTATTGATAAATACATCAATAGCATTTCACTCTGTAATATAACTAGAAGAGACTAATGAAAAATCGTCATCATATGTCTGGTTTAGGGAAAACATTTTCTATAATGTTGGTATACATTAACCCATGCTTCTTAATTTTCCTTTAACATAGCTTAAAAGTATAGACTAGGTGATATAATACCATTCTGCATGGGAGATTTCATCATGAGCTGACATCAGTTAGAGAACCACTGGAAAACCTGGAAGTACTGAACAGCTGTTTCGTTCTAGTTTGGGACTCTTCAGCAGCACACACCCACCGGGATTCGAACCCAAGACCTTCTGGTTACAAGGTGACCTCGCAGACCACTGAGCCACTAGGACCCGATCCAATGGTCCTTGAATTCTAACTTCTGCTAATTCACGGCATAGCGCGACCATTTCGCAATGTCTTTTTTGATGAAGTACTGCCTCATCTTCAACCTGCTGTACGTCACTGGTCACGGATTCCCACTAGAACCCCAGGTTAACTGCCTGAATATGGCCAGTTGCTAGTGAGCATCAGATTAATTTTCAAGTATTGGTTTTGTAGGGATTTGTTGTTCGAACCCCGGGGGTACGTACTGATGAAGAGTCTTAAACTGGGACAAGACAGCTGTCCAGTACTCCCAGGTTTTCCAGGGGTTCTCTAACTTGTGTCAGCTCATGGTGAAATCCTCCATGCAGTCAAACGAAATCCCTACAAAACCAATACTTGAAAGTAATACCATTCTCGGTGTGTTGAAAACGTAACAGAGAGTACTTCGTGCTGAATATTTGAAATACTGGGAAAAGATGCATCTACCATGTGTCTTGTTTTAGTTTTTAACTTGTTAACAAGTCAGATATGTTCACGCACAATTTAAATTCTCAATATTCATACTGTATGACAATTAAATGGTTAAACTGTAGTACTAAAGTGTATTGATTTTTGGAAGGAACTCTGTTAATCAGTAGATATCTGACACACATTATCAATCATGATCTTCCGTTTGCATAACTATATTAATTTTCCTTAAGAAGAATCGTGTGTTTCGGAATTTCATTTTGGACTAGCATGCATCTACATTCACATATGACCTAGACAATAAAAGTTATTGTAAATTTGTACTATAATGACTGAAATGTTTAGTCATGCTTTAAAAGCCAGGCTAGCTTTCTTCATTGGGTCGGATTTGGAATCTTTATGAAGCCATTTCTATTGAAAGAAAGACAATGCAAGCTTCATAAATAAACTGACCATTTCAGAGGACACAACTTCAGGAATATCATTTACCTGAGCTCTAAATCTTCTCCAACAGTCATGACTGTTAGAAAAGTTCACCTGATTGTCTAAACGGAGATAACACCTAATCCTGTTATATGAGGCTTGCTTTAATTATCCCCTTTAGTAAAACAAATTGAGTTTCATAAGCAGAATACGTAATCAAGATAACATAAATTATTTATCTCTAAAATGTTTCTCGGACAAGTATGGGCCATCGCAGCTCCACAGCTTAAAGTCTAAAAGAGATGTGAAGCGGAATAGTCGAAAGAAAGATAAAACAACGGATGTAGTCACAGAGTACTTGCCATCTTCTTAACTGAGACAAAGTATTGAATTTTTGTAAAGCATGAACAGCAAACATTGTGGGATGAAGTGAATTCAGTTACATTACGTGTACTCTAAATTTCTGAATTATTTGCATTTGACAATGGCATTTTTTTTAAAAACTACAAAACTGTAAGCAAATTTTCAATTAAGTATGTATCTGGAAGATTTAAAGCATACAAAATGTAATGAATTGAATTAATTCTACAATATTTGTTGTTCTTACTTTACAAAATATTTTGAAGAGAATTAATTGTAAGAGACACCATAAATGATGGTGTGTCTTCGGTGCACTTTTTGTCACAGTAGAAATTAATACAATACAATTACAAAGGCAGTTATAAATAAGTAGGTGGGAACAACAACAAGCATCAGTCACCATTTATCTAAAGAAGCCGCTTCTTTCAAGTACAAGCGGCACAGGTGGGGGTATCAAAGACAGGATCAGAAAGGTAAGGCAGATCTTTATTTCTCTGAAGTGGGTGTGGAAATATACAGCACACAGTATTATGGAACGAGATCTAGATTTTTAATGCTAGAGTCAAGTCAGTTGTTCTATTTTGTTCGAAGACTTGGCAAATCACGGAAAGCGTTTCGTATAGGCTACTTCAGACTTTAGTCAACGTCTGCCTTCGTTAGCTCGATACTGATGATCACACGGACGGCTAGAAAGGATAAGTAACAAGGCGTCGAGCCAACCAAGAACCTGTTGCTCAACGAATATATAGAAGTAAATAGAAATGGTCAGGAAATACACCCAGGAGATCTTCGAATGTAATCGTACGCCAGGTGTTTAAGTGGAAGGCAAACGGAAAAAGATAACTTGGGTATCTGAAGACAACATGGAAGAGATCGTGTGAGTAAGAGATGAGAGTTTGTGGGTAACCTCTAAGCCAGCTAAAGAGGACTAAAGGAAACAGGATGAAATGAAGATGTACTATTGAATCCCTATGTTCCACTCAGAACCTGGAGGAATAACAATAAGCCAAAAGAAGTCACATGAAGTTTCAAACCACTGCGGGAGTAAAAATTACTATTACTATATGCTCGAGACAATTAGTCTTTTCCGTTTGTACTGAATACTGCCATTCACAGTGACCTCCTGAACCATTAACACTTCTCGCTGCACGGCTTCACTGGCTTCTCAGACGTTTCTAGACTAGCTGGGAAGAAAATATCTAAATTATTTGGAAACGGTTTTCCTTTGAATGCCATGTAGGACGGTTTTATTATCGTACAGTCCCCATTGTAACATCTTATTTTTACTTCTGACGAATGTTTACCACTCATAGACTGAATCTGTTTTCAACTGTTAAGCTGTGGACTTGAAGTCAGATCAAGAATCGGTATCATTTAGAGAACCAATAAAACTCGGGGACTCCTAGACAGATGTGATGTTGTGCTTTGGAGCTCTTCATTATGACCCTATCGGTGGTCGAGAGCAGGATATTAGGCTTACGAGGCGATCATGTTGACGCAAGAAATATAACATAGGAATTCTAACTTCTACCGATTCCGGGTATGTAAAACGACATCTCCAGCTAATGTCACCGGTGAATGTTTGTTCTCACACCCACTTTGACAAGTGCCAGCAGTTATATCTTCTCACTGGAACTATAGACACTCCATCTAGTAATAAGTCACTAGTGAGTATTAGAATAATTCTCATATTTTCGAAATTTCGTATCTGTTAACTGCTGAACTTATATTTTACGACTGTTTACCCACACACAGATATTTAAACACACTGTCGTATACCGCGTATACACGCATATATTTTCATATTCAGTTTTCTACGACCATGAACTTTTAGTCGAACGTAACTACTGAAACTCTGATGAAAAGTACACTCTGTTTAAAGTGTATAACAAAAGTAGACTTAATATTTGGAAGTTTGAGGTCAAATTTTGATCGCAGCTCACACAATTTTGTTTATTTTTCATGTTAGTGCCTGTTTCATGACTCATATAATTGGACAAAGGTTTTAAAAACAAGAAATGTCCTTTTTATAAATAAGCCTCTGTTATGCTAATTTCGATTAATTTCCCTGAAGAAGTTCGGACCAGCTTGTCGAACGAAACTTTGGAATGACTCGTTTCAATTTAGTTGAGATTTTACAAATATAATTTTTGAAAATGTCTACTGAAATTCTGGATATTGTATGGAAACATTTTAGTATTTTATAACCAGATTTTGTAACTAGACGAGATACAAACAATCCATTAGAAGAAACATTATCTTCCAATGTAAATAATAACGCCGAAATTATCTTTTTTCAAGAAATACATTATCTATGCATCGCTTAGAGAACGGTGAACTTCATGAGACAGAAACTTATTCTCAAGTATTGGATTTGTAAGGATTTTTTTGACTGCATGGAGGATTTCATCATGAGCTGACATCACTTAGAGAACCATTGGAAAACCTGGGAGTACTGGACAACTGTTTCATCCTAGTTTGGGACTCTTCAGCAGTATGCATCCGCAGGTGTTCAAACCCAGGAGCCTTCGGTTACAAGGCGAGGTCATAGACCACTGAGCCACTGGGACCCGATCCAATGGTCCCTGAATTCTTACTTCTGCTGAAAAGTCCCAAACTGGGGCGAAACAGCTGTCCAGTACTCCCAGGTTTTCCAATGGTTCTCTAACTGATGTCAGTTTATGATGAAATCCTCCATGCGGTCCTCCTACATTCGTTTACTGAAGAAAACAAGCATAACGACAGCATGATGCTGTGTACTACTGATTGATTGTTATAAGTAGTTAGAAGCCTTTCACGTAAAACAATGCTTGAACCCGATCCATCTGTCTGAGCTGTGCCAGATTGGGTACACCGCTGGTGGGAAATGGTCGTTCAGCCATAAAATCTTCTCCACCTGGCGAACAAGGACTACTGGTTGATGAGGCTAGTCTCAAACTACTTACACCAAACAATCAGTAGTATATAGTATCTGGTTATTAAGCTTGATTTTCCTGATTACCGTTTATGACATGAAACAGACGACACATTGTGGTCTCACTGCTTCTGGTTTCGAGAGGAGGAAACTGTGAAATATTTCGCCCCTATAATTTGATTTAAAGCCAATATAAGCTATATGGTAATTGTTTCATTAATTTTTTCAATTTTGCTTTTTCGCATTCAAATTTGAGTTCATGGGCTAAAAACAAAAAAAAAGGAATTGATATCTAAACCAAAAATATTTTTGCACTAGGATAAGAAAAAGTAGAAATATCTATAAATCAATACATTGACAAATCGACTGTTATCTGGGTCAACTTCTAGTGTTAATAAAGAAAGAAAAAAACTAATGAAAAGTTTTTCATCCTTATTTTAGATAGACAAGTCAATGATGCGTTAACTTACTAGGTGTAGTATGTGTGGTATAGTATACCTATAGGTTTTTTCTAACCTTTCAGTTAACTGGAAAATATGTGATAATAATAAAAGTAATGATAATCTATTGAGCAAGTGTAGCTGAAGCGATAAAATGCATAAAAAGAAGCAAAAGGACAAATAAAGAAGCATAAAGGCAAACAAAGAATTCATTTACTGCTATTCTGAATACTATTCACTTATTTATTTTCTATATCTCGTCACCATAATTTCCGCATTTTCATCAATGAGTGAAAAGGTTATTTTAAGCTTTTATCCTGGTCAAACATTTTGTTTATTTTGATTAAAAAGTGTAAAATACAAAAAAGAGATAACCGGGTAGTCGAAGGATTCTGCAAAACGACAGATACACTGCTAGAAATTCTTTGAAAGGTGTTCCAGCTCTGAAAATGATAATCTACATGAAATTGCAGTAAGCAGCATAATGATGTTATTGCCTAAATGTTAGGTCTGTTTGGCACAATCATTCCTATATTAAAAAGTGGTTTTAAGTGCAACTGAAACTCCATTAGTATTATTGCTGTTATTGTTCACTTGAGTTCCCCGTGAAATATAGTGCCTCAACAAAACATCTTCACCTCATCCTGATCCCTGATGTCCTAGGCAGCTCTCATCTCCTCTCCACACGACCTCCTCCATGTCATCCTCAGATACATAACTCGTCGTTTCTCAGCCAAGTCATGCTCGAACGATGGCCTCGCGTGTGCAATATTAGTTAACGGTCTCCTCAGCGTGTTTCCGATCCAACTCCATTTTCTCCGACATATTTGTTCAACAACAGATTCCTGTTCGCCTCGTTCCCAGAGTTTCTAGTTGCTAATCCTTTCTCTTGAAGTCCTATACCCACAAAATACAGGGTAATGAAACTCCTAAAAGAATCTGATTTCCCAAAACGCAAGCTTTTCTGTACACATTCTGATATTCATGTGTTGGTTTGTAGGGATTTGATTGGTTTCAGAATTTCATCATGAGCTGACATTAGTTAAAGAACCATTGGAACACCTTGGAGTACTGGACAGCCGTCTCGTCCTAGTCTGGGTTTCTTCACAGTACGCACCCATCGGGATTCGAACCCAGGACCTTCCAGTTACAAGGCGAGCTCGTATACCATTAAGCCACTGGGACCCGATCCAATGGTCCTTGAATTCTAACTTCTGCCAATTCACGACATAGCGCGACCACTAGCCAATGTCTTCGGCGAGTATTTGTCCTCACAGCCGACCCGCTGCACCCTACTGGTCACGACTTCACGGTAATCAACTCAGAATATTTACGTGAAAATATAGACGCTATCAGGGGGCATCTGTAGACATTTTCAGCAGCAAAGTTAGTCCAGTCACTTCCTCTATACGGATGAGAAACTTGGCGAAGGCGCCTGGAAAGCATTTCTGACAATCCACTGCATACTTTCCTCAACAGCCACCTTCGCTAACTCCATATTGATGATCAAATGCCCAGTTGGAAAGGATTAGTAACAAGAAACTCTGGGAACGAGGCGAACAGGAATCTGTTGTTGAACAAATATGTCGGAGAAAATGGAGTTGGATCGGAAACACGCTGAGGAGACCGTTAACTAATATTGCACACGCGAGGCCATCGTTCGAGCATGACTTGGCTGAGAAACGACGAGTTATGTATCTGAGGATGACATGGAGGAGGTCATGTGAGGAGGCGACGAAAGCTTTCCGGTACTTGTGGGGCCAGCTGCATAAGACTTCAGGGATCAGGAGGAGATGGAGATGTTTTGTTGAGGCCCTACATTTCATTGGGAACCCGAGGGAGTTATGATAGAACATGTTTAAAATAAGCCTATTGGTGTCTTATGTTGACCTTGGGAATTTTGATTGCTCAAATTAATTTATAAAGCCAATCAGTCTAGCGGATGCGTTCACGAGACTTTATACTACTCAGTGAAATACTTTAGTCAACCTTTCACAATGACCTCATGAACTGCATTTCAAGTTTTTAGCTTTAAACTTTAGTCTTTCATTTGATCCGTCTCCAAATTTGAAGTGGCTTCTAGTTGAAAAAATTTATTACAAGGCTCTAACAACAAAAACTTGTGTGAAAGGTGTTTCTGATGTGATGGATGAGGTGATGCAATTTTAGAAGCGATTCCAACCTACATCATTCATAGCTGGAGTTTATCGAAACTGAGACATTGTTGTGTATGTTTCTATAAGTCGCTCAATGTCACAGTAAGTTACCTCACCTCCGAGCTCTTTGGGCCACAATTGACTTCTTGCCCTATTGTAATGAATACATCATATTATGCGAAGTAGCATCTAGTATCCCGATATTGAAGTATTTTGCACAAGTGTTAAACATTATTTTCTACAAAGTAATTTTTTTCATTTCTGCTTTATAACCCTATTTTTACATAGTTATTAAAGCTGGCGATAATGTAGTCCCTGATAATTTACTTATTTTGTAACGTATCCATCTGCAGAGTTCATGACCCTCAATAAGTCGAGTAGTTGAGATATGTTAAAATATATACTAACAACTCAACACAACCTAGTCACTCGATCAGTGGTCATTTTTGCCTCATCTCTCCTTTACTTAACACTTGATGCATACTTTTAATCTTATTACCAATCTTTCATTGATGTAGTCTTCCCTGTCGACCAATTTTTTGGTAAAATGATTCAAGGCCATTTACATATAATATAATGTATGGGTAAATTTTATATTTCGTGATCTTTATATATACGAAGCTTTGTAATTTTCCTTCCAATCCATTCTTCCTCTTTTACAGTTGTACTTCCTAACTGATGGACATTGTATTTATCGTGGACCAGTTTCATGCTTAGTTCCATATTTGGCTACACAAGATTTAATTTGTCCATCTTATCATAATCCTGCTGATTACTGTAAGTAGTTTTCCTTCAGTTTCAAAAAAGAGAAGAATTATTCTATAGTTAATTACACTTTTTATCTACAGTACTAATTGTCAATTAAATCTTAAATGGTAAATTAATCAATTATACATTTACTACTGTTCAGCGATTTTAGTAGTAGTAGTAGTAGCTTACAGCTGTATGAAGGAATGATTGACATTTGATATGAATTTTAATTACTTACAAGGTAGACTTTTTATGTGAACAAAATTAATAAATGAAATAAATTAAAAATGTTAAAATTTAACTACAGTTTATTTCACTTTCAACGTAGCTTTCCTAATGAAATCAAAGTGAACTAGACAGTGATGCTTTTATCTTATTTTGTGATCTGTTGGCAGTGCACATTCAAAAATATGTATGAAACAATTAACTCTTTTTGCACTTTCAAATTAGTACAAAGTAATTGTTCACCGCCCCTTAGCTTTCTGTTATTCAGTAGTTGATGTTGCTTAATTAAGAAAATTAATCAAATCCGAAATAACGCTATAGCGTCCTAGGTACTATAACCAGACAGTCTACACCCACGTCATGGCCCAAACCAACTGTCGAAGAGTTTATAGATTTGAACTACGCTTTTTACTGAATACCACTGACTGTTTCTCAGCATAATCTTATTTCATTTAGAACTGATCGTTGAGGTAAATGACAGCGTGGCATGAATAATGCATACGCTAGGCATATTATGCATGTAATAAATATGAAAACAGAAAGATTGAGCGAAGAAATATTTACTTTTCAATTAGATCTTCATCTTTGGCTCTACTCTAATATATATAGCACTTTAACTACAATACGACAGTTTGCCAATCAAGTGGCGATAAGTTTGTTAACAATAATTAAACAGTGTTAATGGGTTAATAGTTAACGAAGAAAATCAATACAGATTTAAAAGGTGGAAATGGATAGAATAAATTAATTTTACAAGAATAACACGTAAATTTGTCTAAATTATTTATTTTATTTTACTTATTTTGACCACTTTATCTTTAATTTACGTGTTATTCTTGTAAAATTAATTTATTCTATCCATTTCCACCTTTTAAATCTGTATTGATTTTCTTCGTTAACTATTAACCCATTAACATTGTTTAATTATTATTATTATTGTATCCTTTAGTTCCTAGAGGAACATAGGGCTTCAGCTGCGCACCTCCATTGCCTTCGGTTTTCTGACAACTTTTTCACCCTGCTCCAGGTCTGTCCACATGCTTTCATCTCTTCCTCGCATGACCTCCTCCAAGTCACCCTTGGACGACCAACTCGCCGCCTCCCTTTCGGGTTCCACTCGAGGGCTTGTCTAGTGATGTCACTTGATGGTTTCCTCAGCGTATGGCCAATCCATCTCCATTTCTTCCTGCCTATTTGTTTCACAATCGGTTCCTGGTTGGTTCGCTCCCAGAGATCCCTGTTGCTGATCTTTTCTGGCTGGCCATCTGATCTTGAGTATTGAGCGGAGACAGCTGTTAATGAAGGTCTGAAGTTTGTTTGAGATGCTCTTTATGACTCGCCAAGTCTCTGATACGTATAGTAGCACTGACTTCACATTGGAGTTGAAAATCCGGATCTTATTTTTGATTCTGAGTGCTGTTGACCTCCACACAGATGAGGATCTAATTGAAAAGTAAATATTTCTTCGCTCAATCTTTCTGTTTTCTAAATGTCAAAATGGGGATTTTTTCTTTAATAAATATGACTCATGTTAGCAAATGCCAACCAGCGTTTTTTTATCTATGCTAAGATTACATTGGCTATTAGTCTATAAGAGTTGATACGAATTTCAAAATTAATGAAGCATTCGACACATCTGAACATTTCTCGATTTATCCTCAAATTAGGAGTCGTTACTAGTTAGTTTGGCAACATTATCTTACATTTAACAGGAGTTAATCGCGTGTCAAACGTATTTTAATTTTTGCTCAAACTGTTCTAAAGACGCATTTGTCAGTGTCTTTACCTAAAGGAATAACATCGCCAGTATACTTTAAATGAGGATGACTTCCATGGCAATAAGTCTATCTGTGAGATAACAAAGTTGTTTAAAGTCGAATACATTAGCGAATCTTCAGTGAATTTTATTAAAAAAACTGTGTAAACAAGTATCAGTGATGAACACCATCGGTCAGACATAGTCATCTTAGTAATTGATTTTAGTCCTAAACTAGTGCAATAGTTGTATTAGGAGTATCTATTCAGTTTGATGACGAAGAACGCCCAGTGGTGGTTTAGCTAATTGCCTGTCCCGTTCCAGCACTGATTTCAAACATAGTGAAGGACACTCACATCCGGTGACCACTGACATCACCTAATGATGAACATAAATTGGTCACCCAAATGTTTGTACTTGATGAAAAGGATCGGAGGTAGATTGCCGCTGCTTCTGTAACTACTGTGTAGACTTCCATCTTGCATAAAATCATCCAAGTGTTTACCTACAAATAAATGGACATAGAAGGCAGACATTTGCGAAAACATTATATGCTTAGACTGTTAGGGAGAAAGGTATTTTGATTGGACAGTAGTAACTAGTGTGACGTGTCTAGTCCTTTCTTTGGTGCAGACTGAATTCTATCAGTCAGGTTTGTAATGTGGCCACCATTCTAGGTAGCTTGCCATGACGGTGCACATTGGTTTGGTGACATTAGATAGTTGGAGGCAAGCGAGCCCGAATAGCTCAGTGGTAACGTCTCTGACTGCAGCACTGGGTAACGCCGGTTCGAAACTCAGAAGGGACATGAGTTCCTTCGAGGTTGCAGATACTCCTTGCTGATGAGTGCCAACTAGCATGAAACCTAGGTCAAGCAAGGCTTCCTGTGGCCGATTGCCTCCAACTATCTAATATCATCAGTGAGAAAGGTAGCTAGATATGTACTCCAGTATAATATCAACCTTCCGAACATCCAACACATCCCTTAATGGGATATAGACACAGGTCCTCCATCCCTAACTGAGGTTACTAAAGTTGTCACGAATCTGAAACTAGGCAAAACAGCGGGACCTGATGGAATGACTCCAGAGGTATTTAAGTACGGTGGAGACAGTTTACTGTTTGCATTAACTGAGGTACTAGGCAGCGTCTGGAAATCAGAAGAAGTCCCATTGGGTTGGTGTAATTCACTGATTATCCCCATATACAAGAAGGGAGACAAGTCTTCCTGTGATAATCACAGAGGGATTAGCTTAACTAATATAGTATCTAAAGTCCTAGACTCAATAATCATGCGTAGACTTAGTGGTGCTCGGGAGGCACAAACACGAAAGAGCTAGACAGGCTTTAGACCAGGAAGAGGGTGTATTGATCATATCTTCACCCTCCGACAAATTCTAGGACATAGGCATTCCTACCGGCGTCCAACAGTCATTATATTTCCTGACCTAAAGGCAACATTCGACTCTGTCGATCGGGAAGTTCTCTGGAGATGCTTGGCTGTAAAGGGAATTCCGAGAAAATACATTGCACTGATTAAATCACTCTACTCGTACTCATACAGGCAGCCAGGAGAGGGCTTACGGCGAGCTGTCATCTGAACTGATGACGACCAGTGGTGTCCGTCAAGGATGCCCATTATCCCCTTTTCTATTCAACTTCATCATAGATGTGTTAATGGACTTAACCCTAAGTGAATTCAGTGACTCAGGGATTGACTTGCTACCAGGGAATAATCTCGTTGACTTGGAATATGCAGACGATATAGTCCTTCTAGGCGAAGACGCTGACAAAATGCAGATCCTTCTAAACACCTTGAGCCGCAATCTACGAATGTTTGGCATGCGATTCGCTCCCGCCAAATGCAAGATGATGTTACAGGACTGGACTACATCGACGCCTAGTTTAAAAATAGGAAGTGAAGTGGTAGAGCACGTTGACCGCTTCACTTATTTGGGAAGTACCATCAGCCAACGCCAACGGGTTGATCTCTGAAGAAATCTCAGCACGAATACAGTGGCTCGTTTCGCATTTGCCAGTTTACGCCGACTCTGGCGCAGACGAGATGTTCGACTATCGACCAAAGGGCGGGTGTACTGCTCATCAGTCCGCTCCGTCCTCCTTTATGGTTGTGAGACCTGGCCACTGAAAGTGGAAGACATGAAAAGACTAGCTGTGTTTGATCATAGGTGCCTGAGCTCTATTTCCCGTGTAAAGTGGCATAATAAGGTGAGCAACATGGAGGTTAGGCGTAGAGTTCTATGTAAGGAGGGGAATCAATCAACGAAGTCGTGAAGTTACAAAGACTGAGATGGTTAGGACATGTGTTACGTATGCCTAGTCATCGCCTCCCTCGACGAGCAATGTTAGCGGATATAGGGTCAGACTGGAAAAAAGCTAGCGGCGGTCAAACAAAAACTTGGCACCAGTCAATGAAATCCACAACAGTCGGTCTAAGCCACGTAGGAAGGTGTAGACTTCCAGGCTGGGGTCCTCGGGACGGTAAAAATCTATGGTTGGAAGCAATTGGTGACATGGCTCAAAATCGTTCTCAATGGCTAGCGCAGATGCATCCACTCCTTGTGACTTATGATCTCCAATGAAACTGTTTTGTTCTTCGTTATTACTCCCTTGTCTCACACCTCTGCTCACTGTTTCTATTATGCTTTTCTTGTACTTTCTTCTCTTGCTTCGCGTGCTACACGGAGTGTGGCGAATTGAACTGCCGCACATTTGTGCAAAGTTCTATGTCGAAAACAGACAGACAGACAGTTAGTTATAGAAACAGTAGTGAAGGATATTAGTAACCTGAAGGTAAATATTAGTTGACATCCATGGATTTCTACGGTTTTTGCATAAGTGAAAGAAGAAAGGAGATTGATACTCTGTTATATTCTACCATTTAGTAGCATTGAATGATATCAATAAATATTATAGAAAAGCTTTTAAACTTAGGTTTTATGTTTTCATGATTTATTGTATATGTGACTTATCTTGTACTCTCACATTGATGAATAATTTCAGTGAAGTTAGAATTGAGTCATAACAGACGGTAAACGAATTCTGTCGATAGATGTACGTTAGCAATGTACATCAGACGATCATGTCACATATTATTTGTTGACCTGTTGTTTTACTGCTCACTTTTGGACTATTCATTTACACAGACAGATAAACAAAACTTCGAAGTAATTTACAGTAGATCAATTATACTGCCTATTTATTCAGTATTATTTACTTGGGTTCCTAGTGGAACATAAGTCTGTAACAGCACATCACCATTCCACTATGCTCTTTACAATCGTTTATAGTAGGCTCCCATAAGTTGTTCTTTTCTACCATGGTATCCTCCACTTCAACCTTGAGTGCCCAACTCGTCGTTTCCTACGTGGCTCTCACTAACTCGGGATTTCAATCAATGGTCTCCTCAGCATATGTTTAATCCATCTCCATTTCTTTCGTTATATTTGTTAGGTGATAGGTTCTTGTTTAGTTAGTTGCTAGAGTTGCTTGTTGCTAATCCTTTGTGTCTGGTCATTTGATCTTCAGTATGGAGCGAAGGTGACTATTGACTAAGATCTGCATTGCATTCACTAGTTCAGTAGTTTGTTAGCTGGTCTTAATCCTTGAGAAGAATAGAAGGTTGAGTGTCGGTCTGGAGACAACCCAGGAAAATTAGTTCAACCACTACTGAAGCTTCAAAACTTTTCATGAACTGTAATCTTGTATCCATTAACAAAGCAAGTTCGAGTTTATAAACTTTAAAGAAATTTAGTGTTATATTCTAAGGAAAATAAAATAAGGCAGAAGTGAAGGTGTCATTTTATTGTACATATTCCTAATTTACTTAGGTAGTTCAGTTGGTTGGTCAGTCAATATAGATTTACTCATTTACACTTATTATTTATCTATTGATAGTTATGGAAGTGGCATGTGGTGAACATGGTGAGCATAATATGCGATTAGCAATGACTGCACGTCGGGGAGCACTTGATGAAACAGTAAATTATTTAAAAGAGAAAAGAGCATTCCTAAGTACTTCAGCAAGTAATACAACTGAACGTCCAATAGATAATGTCCAATTGATTGTCACCTCCTCGTCTCCTTCATCATCTTCCTCATTGTCAGCTTATCATTCACCAGTTAAAAAGAATGATGATAATTCAAGGAAAAATTCTAAACAGCTGGCGAAAGATGTAAGTTAGTGTACAAAATATTTAAATTATATAAATGTTCTTTTCACAAAACCTGTTTTCATCACTGATTTCATTCAGAAAGTGAACCGTGTGGGATTTTTCCCTGAGGGCTATGGAAGTGATACTATAGTGAATGAGAATAATTAAGTGTGGATTGATGAAGAGGCTCAGAATGTTGAAGCAGATTATGAGTGAATACGAGTGCAGAATTTTAGGTAGTTTCCTAAAAAAAGCATCCTACAGTTGTTTATCAATATTTTGACGACTCTAAGCAGTCAGTTTAAAGCTGAATATTTTTGGCTTGAAACACCGATTATCAAATTCAGAGACTGCAGCTTTCCCACACCATTCGTGAAGTTTACACGAACGTGCTTACCATGAGTACCACGTAGTGCTGTCATGCATTCAACAGTCAGTATGGTGATTTAACCTGTCTGTTATACAGTAATAAAATTTCAATTCTTTCAACAAAATTTCAATATGAAGTACATTTTCGTGGGCACATCAGCTAATAATAAACTAAACAAACTAGACTTCGTTGTGAAGTTACTTCTGAACATGTTTAGAAGAAAAATAAAAGCTTAGCAACCAAATCCTCTAGCTTAGAGAATACAAAAACATGGCAAAAACATCTGGCTGAACTACAGATCATCTTTATCGGGTTATATTTTTCCCATACAACAAATCTACTGAAATCGTATGTATGACCTGATTGTTGTCAGAGTAGAACAGTAGTTTTGTTTTAACTATAGTAATAATAATAATAAAGCTTTATTTCAGATAACGTGTGAACATATAGCACAGAAATTTTAAGCGTATTCAGTTCCAAGACATTTCCTTTTCATACGCGACTTACGTATCAAGTAATAATCTGAATTACATCATATGACGTTGCTTTGTGGCATATGGAGAGAGAACCACTTCTGAACATTTTCTCTTCATTTCCTTTAAGAACTATACAGCATTCAGTTGAAAGCTAATTCGATTTTCGTGCGAATCGATCTACTGGTCATCTGATACAATTGCATGATTAAAACAATAAGGGATGAAGAAGAATTTAGACGTTTTGACAGATGGAAATTCTGATACCTCAATGATTTAAGCAGGCCACCGATCCACTTAGTTGGATTTATTAACAATAAATTCATATTTAAATCATATTATTAAAGCTTACTTTGTTGGTATTAGATGGTTGGAGGCAATCGGCCACAGGATGCCTTCGACCTGGGTTTTGTGCTAGCTGGCTGTCATCAGCAAGGCCTATCTGCAACCTCGAAGGAACTCATGTCCCTTCTGAGATTCGAACCGGCGTTACCCAGTGCTGCAGTCAGAAATGTTACCACTGAGCTATTCACACTAGTGATTAACCCACTGTAGGACTGCACTGGATATTTTTGATTGGACACTAGTTAGTAACCAGTATAATTTGTCTAGTCGTTTGTTTGGTGCAGACTGAATTCTATCACTCAAGTTTATATTGTGACCAGCATACTAGATGGCTGGGCATCATGGTGCACTGTGAATTGTCGCTATTAGATGGTTGGAGGTAATCGGCAGGAAACTTGATTTTCCCTTGAACTGAGTAACGTATTCATCATGTGTTTCAAACCAGTAGTGAACTTGTACTTGGTTTTTTTACTGTTGACCATGAGAGTAATATGCGAACTTTAATTATATATTCAAATTCTGTATTTGAGATATACAAATTAAATATGAATCAGAATACTTTTAACCGTGAAATGTATCGTGTCTTTGGTTATTTGCAAATTCCACAAATAGAGTACAAAGTGAAAAGCTTATTAACACATACACTTAGCCACTCCTTTGTTTAGCTGTTAACAATTATTTGGCTGTATGTAACACTATTCGTTGTAAGCCGTAAATATTTTCGACTTCAAAAAAAACTGTTGCTCCTGATGCTACTACTTACATATCGTAGAAAGCGAAAACTACTTTGACCACCACCAGTAAAGAGAATGTCAGTGTAATAAACTAGAAAAAACAGAAATTTTATAGGTTCAATCTCTCAGCTCGTAGAAACTGATAGCTGTTATGCTGAATTATGGAAGAATAAATATATTTTGTGTTTTTCACTCCAATAAAGAAAAGACTTAGACTTCCTTCATCTTGGATGATTATGATATACCCATTTTTCTTGTATTACCCTCATGTTATATCAATCGATTTGTTAACTAGAAACAAATGGTGCCCTTGAGTGTCATGAGTAATAAATTCAGCCTAACAGTCCATAAACACTGTAGATATATGCTTAATGATAAATATTCATTCAGACATCTATAGAACACAAAATAATCGAGCAAAGAATATTCTTTTCGATAAATTCCTCTTCCGCCTCTACAATTATATACATGATCATATGTACAGAATATTTTAGATTAGTAGTTAAAACAATATTAGCGTTTAAGTGTTGCTGTGTAGAGATTTCATTGGTTACAGGATATTCATCATGAGCTGACATTAGTTAGAGAACCATTGAAAAACCAGCTGGGAGTACTGGACAACTGTTTCGTCCTAGTTTGGGACTCTTCAGCAGTACGCACCCACCGGGACTCGAACCCAAGACCTTCCAGTTACAAGGCAAGCTCGTTCACCATTAAGCCACTGGGACCCGATCCAATGGTCCTTGAATTCTAACTTCCGCCAATTCATGACATAGCGTGACCCCAGCCAATGTCTTCGGCGAGTATTTGTCCTCACACCCGACCTACTGTACCCTACTGGTCACGAATTTAAATATCGATTTGTAAAGTATGATCAGTGCAATTACAGTTCATTAAAGATGCTTAAATTATAATAGTAATAAAGATATAATAGCGAATAGAATATCAACTAAAATTAGGGAAATTCTACAAAAATTCAGGATTATTCAAACCTGTATGTCCAAGGTAATGATAATGTCTGAACTAACTTCTTTTGGATGCACAAATTAGGCTTTTTAATCTGGATCCCCACAGCCTCAGCAATATTTAGTAGTGGAACTCTTAAGGCGAAATTGAGATCCGTAGGTATGCGGTAAATGACTCTGAAAGTATGGTTAACGTCAATCTTGTGTTCTGTTGTACCCACAAGATGAGATAGAATAGCGCTGCGAATACATTTTGTTTGTCCTTTGCTTAACCACGCAGGGTGATGTTCGGAAATTCGACGAGAAACACGCCTAATTGTATGGCCTATATAACTGGCTCCACATGAGCAGTTAAACTATTATTAACTACTAATCTAGAATATTCGGTGTATATAAACATATATATAATTGTAGAGCCAGAAGAGCAATTTATCGAAAAGAATATTCTTTGATCGATTATTTTATGTTTAGTGATAAATGTTGACTTTTCTGATATTGAATAAGCGTTTTCCCCCAAAAAATATGTTTAGCATGTCATTTACAGCTTAGTTAACATTACTAACAGATTAGATGACTTGATGGATAGATGTCTTCATATCAGATTTCAATATACATATATATGATGTAAAATATATATCTATATTATTTTTATATACGTTCTATAACTTGTAAAAACGCAGGAGACATCATTACACATGGAAATGTCTGTTTTCCTACCTCATGCTAATGGTCCTGTACATACTGTAAATCAAAGTTTTGTCAGTTCAGATTGTATAAAAGTAAGTTTTATTGAAGCAGAATATATGTTAATTATTTATTGACTTGTGTATTGTATAGAATTCATTTCATTTTGTTTGTTTTCTATAGTTAGTTTTTAAGAATTAGTTTTGTTTTTTTCGCGAGTTGATTACGGCTTGATATCAGTTAGAGAACTATTGAAAACCACCAGGGAGTACTTGACAGCTGTTTCATCCTAGTTTGGGAATCATCGACAGTACGCACCTACTGGGGTCCCAACCCAAGACCTTCGCACCCACCTACGACATTGGTTGGTGGTCACTTTAAATCACGAATGGGTAGAAGTTAGAATTCATGGGCCATTGAATCGGGTCCCAGTGGCTGAATGGTATACGAGCTTACCTTTTAACCGGAAGTTCCTGAGTTCAAACTCCAGTGGGTGCGTACCGCCGATGATTCGCAAACTAGGATGAAACAGCTGTCCAGTACTCTCTGGTTTCCACTCATTTAGTTTATTTTGATAATTTGAAACAGTAATGATCAATTCAGTGTTTTATCTTCTGATCGAATTACTAGACTTACTATTGAAATTATAGGGAGTATTGTTTGAAGCTAAGTAGGGTATCAAATTGGTGAATAGATAACTTATTGGAGAGTGTAATCCAAATGAAATTCAGTAATTTTGACGTCATCTCAAATAAGATTATACAAACTTGCTCTTCTTTTGTTACTTATTCACTCAAAATTAGCACAGAGAATTCTTTAGTTATACTCTTACGTGATGATTGGGGGTGAGACAACTAAAAATGGTTCTGTTAGAAAGTGGAATGCTACTCATTAGCTAAAGCTGTACAACAGTTCATTTACTATTATGTGGTATTAAGTTAAACCAGACTGAAGGGAAACTGAAGTCTAAAATAAGAAATGACACTAGTTAAAGAAATAGAAGAAACGTGGGAGTACTAGACACCTATCTGCTCCTATTTTTAGAACTCTTCAGCAAACTCCTCCATGAACTCACTGCAGATTAACCCAAAAACTGAATGACTGAATAGTCAGTGGGACTGCTCCGTAACTTGTAGATCCTCAGAGGAGTTACTGGTAGGTTTTGATGAATAATCATAAACTAAGTCAAAACAATTGTTCAGTACTTCCTCGTCTTTAGTCATTTCCCAACTGATGTCATTTTGTGATCTGACCAATATTTTAAATGTTGGAATGATAGAGACTTAATGTTATTGGCCATGGTTTAAAGTGTTGAGAATGTTTAGCCGTTTCTATTTATTCTTCTGGTTTACGCCATCTTTGAGGTCGTGTTGACAGATGTTAAAGAGATCAGTAGACAGTTTCTACCTAGTGTAAACAGTATACCGAAGTTTGCTATAACTTTTTTGTTTATTTGTTTTTGAACTACATGAATTATTAGTATGCTCGTCATAACTCCTTCAGAATTTAACAGTATTACTTTTGGACTATTTTTCTTACAATTGCCTCATTGTACTCAGTATAACCGCCCGTTGTATAGACAACAGGGTGAGAGGATTTAGGGATGAACGTGACCCTGGAAACCGATAAAATTGACGGTAGAAAGGATGTCAGCAGTAAGCTGTTTAGGTGTCCGGCTAGGCTATTGTGTATGATTTTCTCGAGGTTTCTGGCTGTCAGGCGATTGACCCCTGCAGCAGATCTCTTTTAGCGCCCATTTGATTTCGTCTGATGTAATTGGGGCAATCAGATCTTCATTGATCGGAAGGTATTCTTGAACCGGCCTAGTGTCCGGCAGTACTGGGCTCGTTAATGTTTCCGTTCAGAATTCACTAAAACCTCCAATAGCAGAAGGATTACATATGAATGGGTCCTTCCATCTACCGTCGAGGACAGTGTTAGCAGCATCCTTTGGGGAACGACGGAAAAGAGTTTGGATATGCGCGTAAAGTATACGGCGCTTCTTCTTATTGTTGAAATCTGAAGGTAGGCCATCAAGGTGGTGAATTTTAGATGGCCCCCATAAGACCGGAAATATATCGCTGCCATGGTTGTTCAGAAGGGTACGGATGTCGTCGATTGAAGCTTCCTTCAGAGAGAAGCTTCTGATTGCTTGTAGGATAGTATCATTTTTCAGGCGTTCATTGTTTTATGAGAGTTGTGCAAAGATTGCTGCAAGAAGATTGATTTGAATAGGACTGAATTCAAGCTGGCAAATGGTGTTGATGTAAACATCATTCGTATAAGGTGATGAGGCTGCTGCTGATGATTGATGTAGAGTGTTAAAGGGCAGTATTGTGGCGAATTCTTCTTGGTTGATTTGACTAATCTCAGGATAAACACCCAGTGGACATACGCATGCATGAATTGGACTTAATTTTCGACTAGTAATGACTGTTATTTAACATAGCTTATTCAAATGTATAGTGTTAGACTGAAAGGAAAAGAGGAAAATTTATTCGAATCAATAACATCCATGAGAAAATTGAAATAAGTGAAAAAAGTCCTAATTAAACTGGATAGAAATGAGAAGTAGATAAAAAAAGGAATTATACATTTATTTTATCTAAAAATTTAACTAGAACCTCACTTCAACGTTTCTTTATCAATCAATAATCATAATTTTCTGTACTACTCATATGTATACGTATATATATGCATATCTGTCCAGCTATCATTTTGTTTAAATATCTGTTGTTTTATACAGATGAGGGGAGTTGAAGAATTCTAGATTTTATCGACAAGATATACTCTTATTCAACTAATAAGTTTAATTTCAAGTATACTGCTGGACTTACTTCAGTTAAAGATATTGAAAACCAGAGGATACTTGTCAACTACTTCAACCTACTTGGTGACTTCTCAGAAGAATTCACCCATGACAACATGGGAGATGGAAAGTAGGACCTTCAGACTATACGACCACTAGGACGGAGCCCATTAGCCTATAGATTCTAAATACTGCTAGTTAGCAGTGTATAGTAGATTTTATGACTGTTCATTGTTTTTCATGTTCAATGGTATCTGTGAATAAATTTGAAACAAGTGGAACAGTGTCTACATATAAACACTTTCTTGCAAACTCTATTTCTGCAACTACTTTGAATTTTGAATTGAATGTTATCCATTCAGTGAAATGATATGAAATGCTGGAAACTAATTATACCAATAAGTATTACTTACTGGCCGGATAGAAGTTATCCAAAACCTCGCATGACAATATCTAATCCATTTGGAGCTTAAATCTCTGGTGGCGTGTACTCTAAGCGACTCAGCTGAATTATTATTATTCCTTCCTTTAATTCCTAGAGGTTCTCTGCCAACGTTTCACCTGACTCCACGTCTGCCCACATGCTTCCATCTCCTCTTCACATGACCTCCTCAATGTCATCCTCGCAATGACGACCAACTCGTCGGTTCCTATTCGGGTTCCACTCGAGAGGTGGCTTGGTGTGTTATGTCACCTGATGGTTCGTTTTCTCACAGTATGGCTAGTCAATCCACCTCCATTTCTTCCTGAATATTTGTTGTACAATCGGTTCCTGGTTGTTTCGCTAATTTAATTCTTCTTAGCCCATCTGTAAAAAGTTAGCACATGCTGAATACTACTGCTAGTCATTTTCAAATAATACGTTTTGAGGTGAAAATTTACCACAGTTTCCTTCAGAAAATTGAAATATATTAGACCAATGTATGTGGTCTGTATGATGCATCAAGATACCAAGAGAACTAGCAGTAACTTAAAATGATTCAGTCATTTGAACAGAGTCACCAGTGGTACACTGTTGGCTAACCCGACTATAGACAAGAGATAGAACAGTTAAACAGTTTAGTCATTTTAATTGAACTAGTAAGTAATACTTCTTGGCTTAAGTAATTTCAGTCTGCTCTTAAGAATGAGTAGCGCATACCATTTTTCTACCGGAATTGCTTTCTTAATTGTAATCTAAGGTATCTGACAAGTTATTATTATTGTTCCCTTGGGTTCCTAGTGAAACATAGGGCTTCAACTGCACGTCTCCACTTGCTTCTGTCTTCCTTCTGCTGTACTTTTCACCTGCATCCATTTTAGTTCATGCTGTTTGAACTCCTCTTCACTCGATCTCCTCCATGTCACCCTTACACTGACGTTCAACTCGCCGCTTCCCTTTCGGGTTCCACTCTAGGGCCTGACGTGGCTACCTGGGCAGCCTTTCCAGCTTCGTACATTGTACGAACATTCCATGTCCCCATCCTTATTTTCGCTTTCATCGAAAAAAGGCACATCGGCTGACTGGCTTCCCGAAGGCTTTCACCAGCCTGTGTCACTTCACTTCCCTGATTCCAGCGAAAAATAAGGTTATTGTTTATATTTTTAGTATTTTTAATATATTTATGCGTTGAAGTTTGTGTAGCAATTTGGTTAAGTTTTGGGGGTGGAGTTTCTAGCACCACGCTCTAACCCTCTTTCTTTATCCGGGCTTGGGACCGGCTAGAAAACTAGCTAGCTAGTAATCGAGGCGAGGTTAAAAATATGGAACGCTTCACAATTTTGCGTGTCAACTGACAAGTTACTCAGTGTAATTCCATTATGGGTAAAATTTGTTTTGATAAAATCTCAGTGTTATATATCACCTTGATATGATAATGAGCAATAAATTGTGCTCGAAACGTCATCAGTAAACATTACTGTATAACACTGCGAGACTTTATCAAAGCAAACATTGACACACATAATGGAATTATACTCTACCACAGTGCACAAGTTTTATTCTTATACTCAGTGTAATCTAAATATTTTAGTTTTACAAATGAGACTGGGATTTACATCTCAAAGTATTAGACTTACAAATTACAAAGTGTACTTTATTGACTATTATTCTAATTTTCTCTATCATTCCAAACTGTTCATATACTGAACCCAAAGAATATGACAAAGTGATATGTTAAAGTTTACAATTAATGCTGTCGTTGTAAACAGTTCACTTTACTACATAATATAAGACTGGTGCTCATTCATCATCTATATTATCACAAAATAATTCCTGGATGCTGCTTAAGCAAACAATGACTTCAG